ACTTTGTGTGTTCTCTCAACATGTTAGACATCACTGGATGTGTATTATTATTATTTCACAGGATGATGAGCATGGCACTCATCTACTAATCTGCTAATCTACTGGAGAACAGATGAAGGATTCTGATGGGATAAACCTGTTACATGATGCACTTCATCATCCTGATACAGCTGATCTGTAATGTGATTTGTGATGATGAGCTAAAAGTAAAGGTGAACAGATTCTGCATTAGGAGAGAGAAAAGTGTTTCTCTGACACACTGCATGCAAACACAGAGGCTCTATTCAAACCCACATCCTGCAGTTTAGCAGCAGATCCTGGGTCTGTTGTGATGCTGCACACCTACAGAGACAGCTACGACATTTAGCAAATTCCCATCAGGCTTTGCTCCTCTGTGGTAGAGGGGGGGGGTGCAATATCACGGAGCCACTGCCGATAATACAGCATTAGCATATTGAACTGACCTGATAAAACTGTCAATCACACAGGCTACGGTGCCAGAGCATTGTGTTGGTGTGTGTGTGTGTGTGTGTGTGTGTGTGTGTGTGTGTGTGTGTGTGTGTGTGTGTGTGAGTGAGTGAGTGAGTGTGTGTGTGTATGTACGTGTGTGTGAGTGTGTGTGTGTATGTACGTATGTGAGTGTGTGTGTTGGTGTGTGTGTGTGAGTGAGTGAGTGTGTGTGTGTGTGTGTGTGTGTATGTACGTGTGTGTGAGTGTGTGTGTGTGTATGTACGTGTGTGTGTGAGTGTGTGTGTGCATGTGTGTGTGTGAGAGTGAGTGTGTGTGTGTGAGTGTGTGAGTGTGGTGTGTGTGTGTGTGCGTGTGAGTGAGAGTGTGTGTGTGTGAGTGTGTGTGTGTGTGTGCGTGTGAGTGTGTGTGTGTGTGTGTGTGTGTGTGAGTGTGAGTGTGTGTGTGTGTGTGTGGTGGTGTGTGCGTGTGTGTGAGTGTGTGTGAGTGTGAGTGAGAGTGTGTGAGTGTGAGTGTGAGTGTGTGTGAGTGTGTGTGTGTGTGTGTGTGTGAGTGTGTGTGTGTGTGTGCGTGTGAGTGTGTGTGTGTGAGTGTGAGTGTGTGAGTGTGAGTGTGTGTGTGTGTGTGGTGTGTGTGTGCGTGTGTGTGAGTGTGTGTGTGAGTGTGAGTGTGAGTGTGTGTGATCTCTATGGTTCTTTTTTCTTTTGTATCCATTGTTTCTTATCTATTCGCTGCAGCTCACATGTTTTGTCACACCATCCCAATATGAAAGATAGATATTAGATAAGAGAAAATGTTGAATGTCTCCGCTTTATAATGTTCCTGCAGGACCTCCTGGCCGTCTATCATAAGTATGCAAAGTATCGTCAAACAGAGGTTCATATATCTGTTACGAAAAGTTTTTGTTCTTGCTTTCTCTTCCAAAGTCAAGCAAAAATGATCATTGCGATGACAACGATTCACCTGTTCAGGCAACAAAACAAGACATAGTTGGTTTAGGGAAACGCGTGTGGTTTGGTTTAAAAACTGAACGTTTCGTACATGACTTACCTGGCTTTGGTTTCATATTTCATAAAGCAAGTCAAAGATCGACTTATTTAAAGGTCCCATGTCATGCTTTTCCGGTTATTACCCGTCCCCTTGTGTTATGTAGCTTTCTCTGCATGTAAACGGTCTGCAGAGTCAAAACCCTCAAAGTACACCCTGTAGCGAGTAAAACTCTAACACAGAAAATACCTGTCTGTGCTGCCCCAGAACGCCTCGTTGGGGATTTATCTTTTTCCATTGTTTACTTCCTGGGTTCTGTGACGTGTGAACACCCAGAGGCCACACCCTCTGCCAGCATTTCACGAAACAAAGCTTCCCAAACCTTTCAGCGATTCATGCTGGATATGCTCCGCGTAGGGCACTGAAGAACGACGCTGTTCCTACTTTGTTTGGACCAGCGGGAGATTCGGGTACACAACCTGTAAGCATTCAGTGTTGTTTGTGTATTTATGATGTTTAAAACAAACAAGGTACCTACCACGACTGTTTAAATGGGTAAACGTGTTTCGGACTACGTTGGGATCGCGGAGAAATGCTCTCCGCAGACCCATTCTCACAGCGTTATAAAACTTTTTCTTACTCAATATCAAGCCACACTTATTGTTTTTACTTCGGCTGTGAGTGTTTGTGTGCTCAGGATGAGTTTCGCTTGTTCTCGCTGTATCGCCGACCCGGAAACCTGTCTGCTCCTCGCAGCAGCAGCGGCGAGCAGCAACGAGGGGGGGGGGGGGGGGCAGGAGCTCCAACAAGCCGTTTCGGACAGAGAGTGAATACACATACTATAGAGATGCTGTGTAAGAAACCAATGGGATTTTGGAAAATTGCACAATATAAATCTATTCTAGTAGACCTCAACAATGGAATTATGATCAGTAGAAATGGCCATGACATCGGGACCTTCAAATGAAAACACAGGTGCTTGCTCTTTGGGCTCCATGGATTTGGAAGATCTGCAACAATTCTGGATAATTTTTACTCTGAAGGCAAACTTATTTGTCATAAAGCGCCACAGAGCAACTTTCCTAAAAACGCTGATTCAGTTCCCTGTATACATCCAATCCAAATGGAGGCTCACGACGTGTCTACAGATGATTAGTTTCCTCATAAGTTCAAACAGTGAATGAGTCATGTACTACAATATTCACACTTGCACTATTGCTGTGCAAATCCCTTTATAGTCCACCCATTATTTTATATTATTACAATATAGCCTACAGTATGTTTTACTGCTGCAGCACTTTTCATTTTACTTGCATGTCGTTTTCTTATTCTTGCACCCAGTGGCGTAACAAGGTTGTGATTGGCCCCGGTGCAAATATTGTTTTGGGCCTCCCCCCCATCGCCCCAAAACATAAGCGCTCGCTGATGCACTCACACCCGCACGGACATACACTCTCTCTTGTCCTTTCTCTTTTGAGCGCCGCTCTTGTGCTTTGGTTTGCTGTACATTATAAATGCAAGCTCTTGCATTTTTTATAATGCTGCCGAAATTGCTGCTGCTAGCTACAGTACAGGTTGATTAAACGGTTCGGTCGTCACGCAAGGTATCACATGACATGAAAGGGAGCAAGGTCATTGAACAGACAAATTAGAAAATTAATTTAGGTTGCTTGGTTACTTTGAAGACTGCGTGAACCGGTCAATGCCATTGCACCGTCGATAGTTACGCCACTGCTTGCACCAGTATGTCACTTGCACTATTTTATTTTCTTTCGTTTATTGTATGTTGCATTGTTGGAGGAGCTTGTGATAATAAAGCCTTATAGTTAAATGAATGCAACATAACAAAGGAATATTTGCTGTGGTTTAAATGGTGAATTAAACTGCTGATCATAAGTAAGACACATTATTAAAACATTTAGTCTTTTTCCTGCCTTTTAATCCCAGTTTGATAGCATCCCACTTACTCTGATGACTACAGAAACACTGTTAATAATTCAAAAGCATGATATGCAAAGTGTTTTCTGAGGGGAGAAAAAGTTATTAAACATTTCGCTGGTTTCATCCTCCTCTCTAATAGTGCGTTTGAAGAGACTGATTGCAAAAGATGAACCAGTGCCAGAGGAAACAACCCCCTCCTCTTCCTCCTCTTCCTCACCCTCTCTCCTCCCCCTTCTCGCTGTCCTCCTCCATCCCTCCACGCTTCCTCCTCTCTGGATGGTGCGTGAGGAGCGCTTACAGGACGGACTACAACGGGGGTTTCTGTCTGATGGATCCGGGCTGAAGAGGGACAAGCTCCGACCGGAAGAGACCCTCGAAGATCCCGCAGCACAGACCCCGACCTGCGGCTGCGAAAAGCCGGGAGGAGCGGGCAGGAAACCGGGGAGCCACTGGAGGTAATGGGGGGGCATCAGGAACCTGTTGTTGGTGTGTTTTTATTTTCCATTTGAGTCGCGACGGGAGGCACACACACGGATGGAGATACAAAGCGATATTTAAACCTTGTTGGACTTGATTTGTATCTTGTTTTATGATGATTTAGTAAAAATAAGAAGCGGAATAAACTGAGAGTAGATCTGTGTGTGTGTGATCCACAGCTCAGACGTCGTGTTTTTACATGTAATCAATTACAATTCATGTTGCTGTTTAGTAACGAGGAAAACAGACAAAGATTAATTAATTTGGAGTGAGATTTAACACAAATGTAAAAATATACTATTTACAAGGTATCTGCTTTTTTTGTAAAATCAAGTGTTTTTGCTCACTCTTTAAGCTCATGTTATCATTATTGGAGTAAAACAATAGAAACTGCAGCGTGACATTAGACTGCAATTTAATTATGGTCGCAGGCTGGAGCTTTTTAATGTAATGCAGGAAGGCAGAGAGCGCCTCCTCTAGTCTGGAACCGGAAATTGCAGGTGGCTCAGTATGTGAGAAGTGAATTGGCATCATTATTAGATTTAAAACACACAAGCTTTTTCTCAATATGCTTCAGGGTTTATATCACACTGTTTTTCTGCACGGAAGCCACGAGTGCAAAACAAGAGATGAACACCTTCTTACATCATGCTGCAGCTGGGGTTTTAAAATAGGATCTCACTAAGAAGCTCCCATGACTGTGTTGCTTTTATTTTGTAGGGCAATCTGCCTGCAGGGCATCAGAGGTGAGGCTGGATGTTGGTGACAGAGATGTGTTTGTGTAACCGTACAGGTGTGAGTGTCGAGGAGCTTTTTAGTCTGCATGTTTGCAGATGGAGCAAAGTCAATACCCATTTCTATTGATCCACCCTGTAACAATAAGAGTTCCCTGTTGACTCGAGTGAATGAAGCCCGGTTATTGAGCCATGTTTCAGCTGCTGTAATGACAGAGAAGAGGCCTTATGAGGAGCCTGTATTCGTTTTTTGTCATTTAATATTGGGGGAAGGTGTTGGATTACTTCGCTGAATGTTACGTCGATGAATATATAAATTAATGCTCATAAAAATTATCAGAAGTTATTTGGTTAATTGATTTTCCAATGTAAGTATTTCTTATTGAAGTAACTGCAATATATTTGGGGAATGTACGGTGGCCGACCGGTGCAAACGTGTTACAGCGGCCCAAAAACATTTCCATTAGGCGAAACGCGCTGGAGTTTAAAAAACAATGCAAATATAAAACACGAATGTGACAAAACACAAATGAAGAAACATCTTCCCGAAGTTGACGAAACATGCGCAGGGTTTACTAAAAGCGTTGCATGCAAGAAATGCTGCAAACACAAAACGCTGCAAGAAGTTTGAAACAAAACCAGGGAAACAAAAAATTGAAGCACTTGTTGACGTTCACATTTTTTATTTGCAGAATTTTGTATTTGCATTGCTTTGTTTACGTATTGCTGCTGTAAACGCTGCACGTTTCATCAAGTCGATGAAGATGTTTCTTCCTTTGCATGTGTTTTGTCACATTCGTGTTTCTATTTTGGCATCGTCTCTCAAACTGCAGCACGTTTCTGCTAATGGAAATGTGTTGAGCCGTTGTAGCGCGTTGGCACCTGCTGGCCACCGTAAAGTTGGACAATAAAAAACAAGCAATGTAAATATGTGAATACTTTTTAAAGGACATCTTGCAGTATTACCTAAGGTTTTATAGTTCAGAAGATTACATCGTTAATCATGAAAATAGTGTCAGATTAAGTGGCTGTATGGCATGATGATGAATGTATAGTAAACCACAGCAGCCTTTTACACTTGTAGCTAGTATTTTGTGTTACTTTACCTTGAATTGCCCAGAATGCATTAGCTAATTAAGTTGCTGTCAGCTGATTTATTTTAAACAAATGTATGTTTCTTGTTGGAGAAAATACAAGGTGTCTTCTTTATTATGGGTTTTCTGATGGGCATGATACTGTGTACGACTTTGCACTGTGTGACCTCGCAGCTGCCTCTTCGTAAATAGGAGAAGGCAGGGCATAATTCATGTTGTTGATCCCAATGAGAGTACACACACTTTGTCTCCTCTCCTCTTCGAGGGGCAAAGAGCAACACTGCCTTTCCAGAGATGTCCCGACGCCTTCCCGACACCTGTTGACGCCAAACCGATTTACGACACTGTTTGGTACCTCCTCACTTTAGACTATAATAAACTTGATGTTACTTCCTGCTCAAAGCAGAAATACCTCATGTGTGTGAGTTGAACCATATCCTTTGTTACGATACGATATACTTTATTGTCCCCGTAAGGAAATGTGTTCTGGACTCCGTCCTGCAGTTCCGCATACATGTACATATACAAACATAGTAGACATTAAGAGGCATACACATATCATCAGTCATACACCGTTTGAACAAACACAATACACAGACGCACATACTGACAATGGCGACCTATTGCACAACCCCCATGGCCAACATTTAAAAAGTACATTTGACTACATTTCATTTCATGTGAATGTTAAGAAGCTTAAAGGACATAGGTAGGAATGAGTGCTTATAGTGGTTCAGCCTGCTCTTGGGAACCCTGAATCCTGGGTGGAGTATGTGGGTGGGATCAGACACCATTTGTTTTGCCTGTCTGATAATGGACTGCTCGTATATGTTTTGGAGAGATGGGTGTTTTTTAACCCCCATCATTTTCATAGCAGTCTGTACCAGGCGAGCGATCTGTGTAAGTGACTTAACTCTGCTCCTTCTTGCAAGAATAAATTAGTACCTGACTATTGATTCTCATCCCGGTGTCGAATGATATTTTCCTAACATTTCTGTTTTCATATTCTGTTAAACTACAACTCTTATCTTATTATGGTTACATTTTAAGGAGGCCTAAACTGTTTATTGGTATTGTTACAGTAAAAACAAACCACAATATTCATTAAAGAGCAAGTCCTCGCAACCAGGAAGCTTGAACCGGTAAAGGTCTTTGTATTTTTGTTATTTGCGATTATTGTGGTTTTATCATCTCTTCGCTCCTATACCTTGTACAGTGATGTATATTGCCGTGCCTGTTGGTTGAATGCAGAGCTGCCTTTTGGCTCACCTTCTCTGCCACCTAGTTATGCATTCTTTGTCACTCTGTTTCCCTCATTTAATATGCCTCTCACACATCCACACACTCAAACACACACGCCGCAAACTGCATTTCTTTGGAGTGTCTAACCTTGAGTCTTGTCACTTTCAGCAAGGCACTGACAGATTGTTTTCTTTATCCTATCGCTGCCTCTTCTGTCACATTTTAATTTGGTTTCTGCTTCTGTCTCCTGTTGTTTGCCCCTGCAGATCCTCCATCATCTGAAGGCCTCTCTTCCTGGGCTTGTCTCGGGATTGTTTTTTTAAACATGCACGCTCCCAAGAGTGTGTAGAGTCAAGAGGAAGGTTTTTTTTTTCCGTGTGTTACTTGATTCGCAGAGATGGGCTCGGTGGGAGCTGAGCGGCGCAGGCCAACGCCGGCTCAGACGCCCGAGGAGAGGGATGTGTGGAGGGATGGAGGGAGAGCTGGGTGGAGGGAGGTAGGCAGGGAGGGGTGGAGGGAGGGGAGGGAGAGCGGCGTGGTGCAGAGCTTCAGCTTCGACTCGTACCAGCTGGAGGAGGAGGAGATCAGTAAAGACGCCCCAGAGCGAGGAGTGCTGGCGCTGTCCGAACCCGGTGAGGGAGACTCTCTACAGTGTGTGTGTGTGTGTGTGTGTGTGTGTGTGTGTGTGTGTGTGTGTGTGTGTGTGTGTGTGTGTGTGTGTGTGTGTGTGTGTGTGTGTGTGTGTGTGTGTGTGTGTGTGTGTGTGTGTGTGTGTGTGTGTGCAATTTATATACAATATGCATCAAATTCACTGAATATAAAGAAAATGTCGGACCAAAAAACATCAAAAAGTCTTCCCTCACCCACTCCAAAAACAGCATGAATTGCAAAGTGTGTGTCTAGAAAGATAGATATATTTTGCCCCAAAAAGACAAATTAAATGATCACAATTGTGTTTAAGTTGATGTCCTTACAGTAAGCATATCAGTGGAGAAAACTATTGTGAAAAACTTCCCCTGAATACAGTTTCGTTTTGAATGTGTCCAAAAAAAGTCTCATTATGCATCATGCAAGTGGGCTTTTAATATTTAGTTAAGTATTTATTTGCGCCCTGTGCAGTCAATCAGTGGCGAGCTTGAAGATGTTTAAAGGTCCATGTCATGGCCATTTCTACTGATCATAATTCCATTGTTGAGGTCTACTAGAATAGATTTAAATTGTGCAATTTTCCAAACTACGTGTATTCACTGAATTTCACTCTCTGCCTTTAACGGCTCGTTGGAGCTCCTGCCCCTCCCCCCCACCTCCCTGTGAGCCCAGTGTGCTCTGATTGGTCGGGACGTTGCGAGGCTCGTTGCTCAGTGAGCTGGCTTACTGGTGTGGTTTCCGGGTCGGCGATACAGCGAGACAGCGCGAAACTCATCCTGAGCACACACAAACACTCACAGCCGAAGTAAAAACAATAAGTGTGGCTTGATATTGAGTAAGAAAAAGGTTTATAGCGCTGTGAGAATGGGTCTGCGGATAGCATTTCTCCGCGATCCCAACTCATCTATCTCCAGCGTTCAGGGAGCTCTACGCAAGTCAATGGGACTCCCTGTTAGTTAGCCAAGGGGTCCTGGTGTGTGAGGTGCTCCGCGGATTGGTCCATTTGGGCCATTTGTTGTTGAGGTGTTTGGGTGTTCACACGTCACAGAACCCAGGAAGCAAACAATGGAAAATGAGAATTCTCCAACGAGGCGTTCTGGGGCAGCACAGACAGGTCTTTTCTGTGTTAGAGTTTTACTCGCTACAGGGTGTACTTTGAGGGTTTTTGACTCTGCAGACCGTTTACATGCAGAAAAACCTTCATAACACACAAGGGGACGGGTGATAACCGGAAAAGCATGAGACCTTTAAACTGATCTGTCAGTCCAAGTTCAGCTGACGTTCCCTGATCAAGTTCCAATAGTGCTAAGTCTAGACCCTTACCCTTTATTTTTATTGTGAAGTTTGAGGTATTGACACACACTGAAAAAGGATCGTATTTCAAGATCTTTCACCAATTACTACTGTTGCTCTTGTATCTTTGCCTATATCTGGCTTTTTAAGTTTGCTTAAACTGTTGTTCAGCATACAATAGCAATGAAGTACAACACTTGTGCTCAGTAACATTGCATATCTACAGAACACCTTTAAGAGCCAGCTGTTGAATAAATAAAAACATGATTTTGAGCGTTTAATAGTGGGATCACGGGATTAGACACAGTTATATAATAAACCTGCTCATCTCACTTTAACCATGAAACAGACTCAGCTGCAAAAGTCTAACACCATCTGAAGCCCTTCTGATGAATCAGCTGCAGGAGCAGAGTCCTCTGAATCAGCGTCTCTCTGCTACAGCTCCATTCATCCTGATTAGTGTTAATGAAGATGGAGTGTGTTTGCTTTAGACCTAATTCAGACATTTTGATAATTCCTATCCCCACTGTTCGAGTGTGATTTCAGCCTCGTTGCGATTCTCTAACCCTTGACTCTGCTTCCCCGCTCAGACTTTGAGGAGCCGATCCCTGACGACCGTTACCATGGCATCTACTTTGCAATGCTATTGGCTGGCGTGGGTTTCCTGCTCCCGTACAACAGCTTCATCACCGACGTGGACTACCTGCACCATAAGTTTCAAGGTATTAATATGCATGAACCAAGCCATGCACCTATGGAGAGTGCAGGAATTGTACATGCACACCTGCAGAGTGCACCGCAGGGGCGCCGTAAGGGGGTGAAAAGTGAGGACGATTCTAAGGGCCCGTGACTGACAGGGGCCCCAAACAATTTTAGAACATTAAGAAAAACATTTTTAAATAACCAATGTGATATCTTTTCATGGGGCCCAAAATCCCTGGCGGCGCCCCTGAGTGCACGTATATTCATGTTGGGGGTGACAGTCGATTCAAAAATGTAAATGAATCACAACAATAATCAGGTATTAATCTTAATTAATCTCAATTTGAAATGACTAGTATTTACCATAGAGGTATTTACTTATTCTTTGGGGGCAGTTAAACAAATACATGTGTGTATTAAACTGTTAAGAAAAATCTGAGTTTTTTTTAATGCTAATAAACATCTTGGCATCATTCGAGGCATGTGGTGCAGTGGTTTGAGCGCTGGTGTTCGGATCAGGGGGTCACAGGTTCAAACCCCACTGCATGTCCTTGTGTCCCTGAGACACTTCACCCCAAATTGCTCCTGTGGGGATTGCCCACAGTATTGAGTATGTAAGTCGCTTTGGATATGTGATTTCTGAATTACTGGCATGACGTCCGACATTTAGCTTAAGCCATCTTAACCCGCTGGAGTCGGTGGCCAGGTGCACATAATTTTACGTAATTAATCATATCATGTTAGAAGAAATACATTTAAAAGGTGATTTAAGAAAACATCTAAAAATCTAGAAAATACCCTTAGACTCCAGAGGGTTAAAGGCTGAACTAGGCTCGTCACTGTCACTCGTTTTAGGATGTTTAACGAAGTAAATAAACAATCTCTGAATAAGTTAACCCTCTATGTCGTCCACATCTCCTACAATAGATGGACTAAATCCCATTAAATCACACCCAGTAACCCAAGTTATTAACAATTGAAAAATTGGGCTAAATAAGCATTTGGACTCTAACAGCATCAACAAAGCCGGGAGGAAGTTGGGGTCAAACTTGGAAATGTGATAAATGAGATAAAAAGGCAAATGCAATAAGAAGGTTTGGCAACTGTGGCTGTGAGGTAGTGCGGTCGTCTTTCAATCAGAAGGTTGTTAGTTAGATCCCAGTCAATATGCCGGCGTTAACTATCTTTGGGCAAATTACTTTTGTGTGAGTTGTGTGAATGTTAGCTTCCGCGAAGTGGCACATTTCTCTGTTTGAACGGTTGAATGATGTGTTGTAACTGTAAAGCCCTTTGAGGGGTCGCACGGACTAGTTAAAGGCTATACGTATCAATACAGTCCATTTACCAATTAGTGTTCCATTTTTGTATTTCACTTTATGTCTTTGATGAACAAAGACCATGCATAAAATACAGAACAGATGATACTCTAGATTTTTGCCTCGTAGCTAATTTACAGTCCTAACTCCTATCAAACTTCTGTGTGTGTGTGTGTGTGTGTGTGTGTGTGTGTGTGTGTGTGTGTGTGTGTGTGTGTGTGTGTGTGTGTGTGTGTGTGTGTGTGTGTGTGTGTGTGTGTGTGTGTGTGTGTGTGTGTGTGTGTGTGTGTTTCAGGGACGTCCATCGTGTTCGACCTGAGTCTGACGTACATCCTGGTGGCTCTGATGGCTGTCATCCTGAACAACGTGCTGGTGGAGCGGCTCAGTCTGCACACCAGGATCACTGTGGGTGAGTCAGGAACACACTTTAATCAGGAAGAAGTTCTCATTATGGAAACTTCTGCTGTCATTTATTAATTAATCTCCTCTGGGAAGCAAGACGCTTATCAGAGCAGAGTACACAGAGCAAAAAACTGTGAGTACGGTATAAAAGATCGAGAAAGAAACGTCTTATTTTCTCTGTGTTATTCATAAAATGTTTCGAACAAGCTTTGACAGTGTTTTCACAAGGGGCTGTTTTTAAAAATCTTGCTGTCAATTTCTCTTAAAGCAAACTTACTGTGCTATTTAAGTAAACCTTTCAGACTTCAATGCCACTTGGAGAATTGGAGAACATAATAAATTAAGAGGCAAGCACACAAGATTAAAATCAAATATGTGCACATACATAGTAAGAAAAGAATATAAATAGCAGCATTATGACGTACGTTAATATATAAAGTAACCAACATAACAGAGATACCTTGGCCCAAGCAAGGGGTCCTATTCTTTACAGGGTTCCCCCCCTGCCTGAAACGCCTCAATTTGACTTCTTTGTTTACATCCTGAACTTAGTGACATCATTATGTAACACTCACGCTTCTATTGGCTAGTCCTCTTACACATTGTACGTGATATTTAAGGGGCGGGACATCCCTAAGCGGTTGACCAATCACAACAGAGACGGCCAGCTAACCAATCAGAGAAGACTGGGCTCTAGTTTCAGACAGAGGGTGAAAAGAGGTGCTGCAGCACAGGAAGTATGAGAAAATGAAGAGCTTTTTGAACATTAAAGCTTGGAGACAGTAGAGACACTACATACTGATATACACCTGAACATCAGCAGGAGAGGACTCTTTAAAGTAGAGACACTACATACTGATATACACCTGAACATCAGCAGGAGAGGACTCTTTAAAGTAGAGACACTACATACTGATATACACCTGAACATCAGCAGGAGAGGACTCTTTAAAGTAGAGACACTACATACTGACATACACCTGAACATCAGCAGGAGAGGACTCTTTAAAGTAGAAGGACACTACATACTGATATACACCTGAACATCAGCAGGAGAGGACTCTTTAAAGTAGAGACACTACATACTGACTATACACCTGAACATCAGCAGGAGAGGACTCTTTAAAGTAGAGACACTACATACTGATATACACCTGAACATCACAGGAGAGGACCTCTTTAAAGTAGAGACACACATACGAATACCCTGAAATCAGCGGATAGACACTACATACTGATATACACCTGAACATCAGCAGGAGAGGACTCTTTAAAGTAGAGACACTACATACTGATATACACCTGAACATCAGCAGGAGAGGACTCTTTAAAGTAGAGACACTACATACTGATATACACCTGAACATCAGCAGGAGAGGACTCTTTAAAGTAGAGACACTACATACTGATATACACCTGAACATCAGCAGGAGAGGACTCTTTAAAGTAGAGACACTACATACTGATATACACCTGAACATCAGCAGGAGAGGACTCTTTAAAGTAGAGACACTACATACTGACTATACACCTGAACATCAGCAGGAGAGGACTCTTTAAAGTAGAGACACTACATACTGATATACACCTGAACATCAGCAGGAGAGGACTCTTTAAAGTAGAGACACTACATACTGATATACACCTGAACATCAGCAGGAGAGGACTCTTTAAAGTAGAGACACTACATACTGATATACACCTGAACATCAGCAGGAGAGGACTCTTTAAAGTAGAGACACTACATACTGACATACACCTGAACATCAGCAGGAGAGGACTCCTTAAAGTAGAGACACTACATTACTGATATACACCTGAACATCAGCAGGAGAGGAACTCTTTAAAGTAGAGACAACTACATACTGATATACACCTGAACATAGCAGGAGAGGACTCTTTAAAGTAGAGGACACTACATACTGATATACACCTGAACATCAGCAGGAGAGGACTCTTTAAAGTAGAGGACACTACATACTGATATACACCTGAACATCAGCAGGAGAGACTCTTTAAAGTAGAGACACTACATACTGATATTACACCTGAACATCAGCAGGAGAGGACTCTTTAAAGTAGAGACACTCATACTGTATACACGACATCAGCAGATGAGGACTCTTTAAGTAGAGGACACTACTTACTGACGATCCACCTGAACATCAGCAGGAGAGGCCTCTTTAAAGTAGAGACACTACATACTGATATACACCTGAACATCAGCAGGAGAGGACTCTTTAAAGTAGAGACACTACATACTGATATACACCTGAACATCAGCAGGAGAGGACTCTTTAAAGTAGAGTCACCTGAAAGTGACCCTAATAGGGCCCCTTTAAAGTAATCAAACAAACAAACCAAAAACCCATATTTAAAACACAACCTCTTAAAATGCAGGCAGATTATGCTTCAGGTTTCTTAAAGACTAAGCATAACACTGGAGAAATTTTAATTTGGCTCTAAATTATTCAATACAAATCTGTTTTATAATGCTGCTACACGCCTTTGCTAATATTAAAGCTGTTCAGCCTTCCGATATGAAGAAAATAGAAACTCTTTAAAAATGTATGTCCCCCCTAGGAGGTTTTACCATCACCACCTCCACATCCCTCTGCAGCCTAAAATAGCTCCGCCTGCATCCTGGAGGAAATGTCTTTTGAAGTGTGTTGTCTGCTGGAGAGTCTCTGGAGCTCAGAGAGTCCCGTCGGACGTCAGATGGAAACGATACGGCTGTCAAATGTGCTCAGTCATGCGATCCTAACATGACCTGGTCTCCTCACTGTGTGTGTGTGTGTGTGTGTGTGTGTGTGTGTGTGTGTGTGTGTGTGTGTGTGTGTGTGTGTGTGTGTGTGTGTGTGTGTGTGTGTGTGTGTGTGTGTGTGTGTGTGTGTGTGTGTGTGTGTGTGTGTGTGTGTGTGTGTGTGTGTGTGTGTGTGTGTGTGTGTGTGTCTGCAGGTTACATCCTGGCTCTCGGGCCGTTGCTCTTTGTCAGCGTGTTTGATGTGTGGCTGGCCAAGTTCACCACAGGACAGGCTTACGTCGTCAACCTGGTGTCAGTGGGAGTGGTGGCCTTCGGATGTACAGGTACTACAGAATAATAATAATAATAATAATAACAGCTGGGAAGAGACCGAGGGGTAGACCTAGGACCAGGTGGAGGGATTATATCTCTTCGCTGGCCTGGGAGCGCCTTGGGATCCCCCAGTCAGAGCTGGTTGATGTCGCCAGGGAAAGGACAGTTTGGGGCTCTCTGCTGGAACTGCTACCCCCGCGACCCGACCACGGATAAGCGGGAGAAGATGGATGGATGGATAATAATAATAATAATAATAATAATAATAATAATAATGCTTTTTCTACGTCCATATCTACCTCCCATATTTCCCTACCAGCTATCGGAGTCAGAATACTTTATTTCATCCCGGGGGGGTTTTGGTTTTGTGACAGTTGCTCCACTTTAGAAAAAGTAAAGAAAAAAATATTTATATAAACATAGAAAGTAAAAGTAAGACTATGTTATAAAAGGTAAAGTGAAATGAGGATATTTATATAAAAAATAAAGAAATTAAAGTATGTTTAACTGTGTGTATTGGTGACACATTGTTTTACAGGCTTATTATAGGAGCTGTGGTTAAAACAATCACATTTTGGGGGAAAAAACAACAAAACAATCTACGACTGTTGCCAAAATGTATGCAGCAACACAGCCAAATATCGAACAAATAAGAAATTGAAGCAGTAAAACAAATGTCCCTGTTACATGGGGAGGCTCTAACGAAGATGATAATCTGGCCATCGTTTCTATACCCACTGAAGAGAATAATGCAACATTTTGGTGCTCTTAGTGCTGAGTCAGAGCTGTCAGATACTCAGTGGAGTCTGCAGTCTAATGTTTTCTCACTGATTATCGCAGTGACTCAGCCTCCAGCCAGCAGCAGTAACAGGTTCATTAGCCGAGGCCAGAGAGTCTCCTCCCCAGTGTGTGAGGTCTAGGAGTCGTGTTAATAAATAGTATTGTTAAAGTGTTTAACCGTTTGAAAAACACTTCGTCTTCCCTCCTCAGTGCAGCAGTCCAGTTTCTATGGTTACATGGGGATGCTGCCCAAGAGGTACACACAGGGGGTGATGACCGGAGAGAGTAAGTACGCTCACACTGACTCATTAATGTGCACGATGCAATATGATGATACTTTACTCTCAGATAAGGTCTTAAATTGTTCTTGCATCACAGCAGCTTCCATTCCACATCTAAAAAGGCAAATATTACGACAAAAAAAAAGAAAAAACAGACATTTAAAGAGGCCCTATTAAGCTCTATGGGGGTTTTCCCTTTCCTGTGGTGCATGAGTCAATCCTAAGATTAAATGCAGAGTTAAATCCCAGTTCAAATGTACGTTAAAGGGTCTTGAACCTATTGTCTTCAGTGGTTGTTATGTTATGTCAAATATCTGTTTTCTTGCTTCTTGTCTTGATATGTGTCTTTGTTGACGCAAATGGAGCTGCTGCGATGCAAGAAAAGAATTACAGATTTGTTCTGACGATAAAGTATTTTCGTATCGTAGCATATCGTATCGTATCTCATCTTGTACTATCATATGATATAGTCTCGTATTGTATCTTATAATATTATATCGTCTTGTATCGCATCATGTAGTATCATACTCTGTATCATTTTGTGTCAAATCATATCGTATTATATCGTCTTTTTACATCGTGTCTTAGCGTATCGCAAGAGCTGTATTGTTTTTTCCATTTGTTGGCATGTACATGTACAACTGCTGTTTGACATGTTAATAATTCAAAACAATAAAAACTAATGTGAGAAAAAACAACAAAAAAACACAGATAGACAGAAAGGAAACATAGGAGAAAAACATTAGAAGCAGACACACAGGGGGAGACAAGGACATTTAGAAGAAGCAAACATGATGTTTAGCACAGCAGTGAGTAGGTTAATCTGAACAGGTGAGTTTTGAGGCTCTCTTTCACTTCCTGTTCCCGTTCCTCTCCTCCAGGCACAGCAGGCGTGATCATCTCTCTGTCGCGTATCTTCACCAAGCTGCTGATCCCGGACGAGAGGAGGAACACGCTCATCTTCTTCCTGGTGTCCATCAGCATGGAGATGCTCTGCTTCCTGCTCCACCTGCTGGTGCGCCGCTCTCAGTTCGTCCGTTACTACACCAGCCACGCCCAGGGAAAAGAAGCGGGGAAACTTCCCGACGCACGAGACAACGGCACCGGATACAGAGTGCACCACGACGTCACCGCAGAGGAAGTAAGATTTGTAAGTTTGTGGAGAGATAATCGACTATACTGGTTGTATAAGTGTCTAGTGTGTATGGATGGTCTTTGCTAGTGGCTTTATGAATGGCAATGTTATTCAATTGTTCCGCTGAATATCTCAACAGTTGTTTTATGGATTGGGTAGAGCAACCTTTTTCAACTCAGGGCCCATTTAAGAATCTAAAAAAAATGTGCGGCCCACATTCAACCATAAACAATACGGAGGCTAAATAAAGTTCTGATTGGTCCATTCAGAACATGTGACACGTTGTTAATCCAGTAGTACAGACCGCTGTCAAGGACTTTACTGACCCTTGCTAAGGAGGATCAACAAAGAGAAAAATAAATCTTAATAATGGAATGTTTCCACACAAATTATAATGTTTTGCAAGATATTTTGCGGGCCAGTTGCAATGCATTCGGGCCGCGGCCCACAGGTTAGGATACGCTGGGGTAGAGGCATTCATGGTCCTCTGAGGATGAATCCTACAATGCCGTGTTAGAGTCAATCTTTATGGAGCTGTGTACAGAGGGGTCGGTTATTCCCAGAAATGTAGGAGAATAGAAATGAGAAAAGTATTGGATGGTGATGTTGGTTGATTGTTCTGCTAATATCTCAACCACTATTGGATGCTTTTACATTTCGTAGAGGCATTCATGATCCTCTGAGGATGAATCCTATGATGGCATATCAGGGTCAATGTAGGTACAAAAATAAATAATGTATGGAGGCAGGAGATTATTTATTTAATCAATCAATCAATCAATCAATCAATGTTTATTTATATAGCCCAATATCACAAATGTTACATTTGTCTCAGTGGACTTTACAGTTTGTACAGAATATCAGTATGACAATACGACACCCTCTGTCCTTAGACCCTCACATCGTACAAGGAAAAACTTCCGGAGAAAACCCACAGTTTAAAGGGAAAAATGGGAGAAACCTCAGGGAGAGCAACAGAGGAGGGATCCCTCTCCCAGGACGGACAGACGTGCAATAGATGCCGTGTGTACTGTGCTACTAAATTCATTTAATTTAGTAGCCATTTTGGTACAACACTATGGAAGACCCAACACTGTATGTTATATAATAAAAAAGCCCAATTCAAAACGATGTCTCTTCCGAGTCCAGATGCTGATGATAATATGTTGATTCTGAGCTTTAAATCACATTATGTTTTCTAAATGTTAAATCTGATTGCAAAGTATAATTGAATTAGGTCTTCCACTACAGCCACGATACACGATCCAACCTTGCAAAGTGAAGCCAGGTCGTTCCTTGACAATAAAAGAACACCATCTTTCGACATTGTTTATTATAATCAGGATTTATTTGATTTTTTCTTCAAATTGACTATTTTTTCAATTATAAATGGAACATCTTAAAGGTGGGGTAGGTAAGTTTGAGAAACCGGCTCGAGATACCCTTTTTGTTATATTCAATGGAATGCTCTTAACATCCCGATAGCAATGAATATCTTAAGTGCTTTGACAAAAAATCCATAAAAAAATGTCATCTCTGGAAGCCGTGGCACTGTAAAAAGCACGACCAATCATCTGAGCCAGCCCGGCTAAAGTAACTGGATGGCCTACCTGCCTGTCAGCCTTCCATCTGTGCACAAACTTATCTCGTGCCCTCATTGGTCATGTGCGCGTTCGTGTGTGTTGGAGGAGGGGCTCTGTAAGGAAGTGGGCGGCAGATTTTCTCCAGTTGTGTATTTTCAAATTCTAGCGTACTCGAGCTGGTTTCTCCAAAATTGCCTACCCCACCTTTAATCTTGTAAATTCTGAGTTTTTACTCTGATTATTCCCCTACTCCCCTCACTTATTTGAGCTGAAACCTCTTAACACTGGACGAGCTCCTCTCATTAAAGCTTCTCTCTCATTCATTAAAGGTGGGGTAGGTAAGTTTCAGAAACCGGCTCGAGTGCACTAAAATTTGAAAGTACACAGCCGAAAAGAATCCGCCCCTTCCTTCAGACTTCCTTACAGAGCACCTCCTCCAACCAGGCCCGGTTCTACGGGGGTGCATAAGGGTGCATTGCACCCTCATTTGAAAAATGAAAAGTAAAAAAAAAAGAAAAGAAAAGTGAAAAAAATGAAAAGTGAAAAATATTACATATATAATAACAATAATAATAAGAAGAAGAATATAGTTGAAATAAAATAAATTGTGGTTAAATAACATTGTCTGCTGCATTTATTTGGTCAATTTAAACGGTAAGTAACGTAATTATGTCAGGTGCGCGTGACATGTGCCGCGTGCGCGTTCGTCATCTGCAAGGTGCTTACACAGCAGTCAATGATGGACATCAGAAAATGGTTAAAACAACCAGCCCTAATCGCCAGCAGTAACACTGCATCTACTGCAGGTAATAACAGTTCAGATCATGGGGACATTACGTTACACTGTCGTGGACACTAACGCCCGACTCGCCGGCTTTGCCCGCCTCGCCCACGGAGGCGGAGCAGCCGCAGCTCTCTTCGTTACCCCAAACACCGCCACCCCTCAGCGGCCCGCAAGTGCCAGAGGACCTCGGCAAAACAGAGCCTGCCCAGGTATATTTAAAAAAGTACCCAACTCGCCTGTACAGTGGGGTAAGGCGCTCATTTTACAGCTCATGGTCTCAAAACAGAGATTGGCTGGAATATTCATGTAAAAAAGATGCCATCTTCTGCTATGCATGTAGACATTTCGGTTCAAGTAAGTCAGATGCCTTCACCACAACTGGCTACAACAACTGGCGCCATGCTCTTATAGGCTACGTGATAAGGGACTAGGAAGGCATGAATCAAGCAAAGAGCACAAAGATCCATAGATCTCTTAATTTTGCTCTCAAAGTGCACCAGATTGATGCTTTGAACTTCAATATTTAAAAAAAAATCTTCCCGGGGGAGCATGCCCTCGGACCCCCCTAGAGGAGGTGAGGACCCTCCTAGAGGAGGTTAGGTCCACTCCAATAGCACTTTACAACTGCACCCTCTCTAATCTCAGATGCACCATGAGTCATTTTGTTCTGGAACCGGGCCTGCCTCTAACACACATGAACGCGCACATGACGTCAGCAGACTGGTGAAAGTGGCCGCCTGTTGCTGGTGAGTCATTGAAGTACTGCTGCAATGCACGCCCAATGACGGCACGCCCAATGACGGCACGCCCAATGACGGCACGCCCAATGACGGCACGAGATACATTTGTGCGTGCACGAGATGGAAGGCTGACAGACAGGGCGGCAATCCAATCCATTGGTTGTACTTTTTACAGTACTACGGGTTCCACAGATGACATTTTTTTAATGGATTTTTTGTCAAAGCACTTTAGATATTCATTGCTATCGAGATGTTAAGAGCATTCCATGGAATATAACAAAAAGTGTATCTCGAGCCGGTTTCTGAAACTTACCTACCCCTCCTTTAAACCCGTTATTAATGATTCCACCACAGACTGTTTCTTCAGGAAGGGGAAATGTCAGCCGTTTAAACTGAGCTGTCACGCACCGCCCACTTCATGTCGAAGTCTGTGAGGAGCGTATCCTCTTCAGGGATCGAGGGCTGTGCAGAATCATTTATTTAAGCTACAGGCTGCTTTTTGGACGCCAAAAAAAAAAAGATAAAGACACATGAGGAAGAGGAGGAGGCTCCTGCAAACAGACAGAACATGAGAGTCACGACTCTGAGAGGAAACAAGGTTGGGAGAAAACTGTTGAGGCGAGGAGGTGAGACAGAAAAACAGAAAGAGAGAAAGAGAAATGACAGAAGAGGAGGTGGAGACACTTTGTATTCCTGCTTCAAGCATCACTTGTAGCCTGAAGACATGGAGTGAATATTCCGTGTGTGTGTGTGTGTGTGTGTGTGTGTGTGTGTGTGTGTGTGTGTGTGTGTGTGTGTGTGTGTGTGTGTGTGTGTGTGTGTGTGTGTGTGTGTGTGTGTGTGTGTGTGTGTGTGTGTGTGTGTGTGTGTGTGTGTGTGTGTGTGTCTGGAGGATGATTCAGGCAGCTCTTTGTTCTGGTTGCCGAGGGAAACCGTGGCTCTTTGCTGAGGGATAATCAAGAAGAGTGGTGCCTTCTGGCCCTGCAAGTCCCCTCTAATCAACTAATAGATCGCTGTGTGTGTGTGTGTGTGTGTGTGTGTGTGTGTGTGTGTGTGTGTGTGTGTGTGTGTGTGTGTGTGTGTGTGCACGTGTAATTGCCTGTGCACACCTGTGTGTCTCTGTGTGATGTGCATATGAAGACGTGTGTGTTATGAAAGAAGCAGGAAAAAAATTGCATTTCTATGCCTGTGTTTGTGTGTATGTGTGTGTGTGTGTGTGTGTGTGTGTGGTGTGTGTGTGTGTGTGTGTGTGTGTCCAACATCATTATGTCAACCTCCAGCCACTCCCAGTGATGGTCTCTCCCCCATAAACAAAAACAGCTGATGTCATGCAGCCAGGAAGCCATTCTTAGTGAAAAAAGATACATTTCACTGTAAGAGAATTTTGTTTATTTACTGTGTGACGGCTACATCTAGTGTTGTCCTAATGAACTGGTAATGTACTTCAAAAAGCCTTGAAATTATGTTCAGAAAATGCAAAGTGAAGGCAGGGCCGGCCCGTAGCACTGGCGTTATAGATGTTCGCCTAGGGCGCCAGATCTGGGGAGGCGCTGCGCTGACAGCTCTGGGAGGGAAACAATTTTTTTTTACCGTTGGCGCTCATCCTAATTTTCGGCCTTGATGTAACAACATTCATAATTAAGTAAACGTAACACCCTTTTAACCACGGTTACACTTTTCCATTTCATGGGCGCTGTAAGTGATGAAAATGGGGGATGTTGGCTTATCAGGCGTCCGCAGCTCACAGCCAAAGTACGAGTGAGCGTGGGAGCGAGCGTGGGAGAGAGAGAGAGGGCGCACCGGTACCGGCGCTGTTGTTATTAGAATCTGGTGCTAGCTGCGCTAACGGATATTAGAAGAAGATGTTTCTACAATAATGTGGAGGAGAGCTCTCTCCTGTCAGACTGAGAGGCTCAGTGAGGTAAAGGACTCTGAGTGTTTAGATAGTTAACTTTAGTCTAAGTTATCTCAGTGGGTCTCAAACGTTTTGATCACAATTTATGTAAACACATATTTCCAAGGCACTCCTTTATAATTATTGGGATAAACAGGTTTGAAATCATTCCAATCTATACTATTGGACAGTAAACCAGACATATCGTTTAAAGTTGGAGAGATAAAAAAAAAAAGCATAAATAAATAAATGTTAACTAGGTAAAATAAGATATGAATGAACAACAAAAATAAAATATGTTACATTTATTTGTCATTGGCTATGGGTTATTGGTTATGTTCGCATACTTATTTGATTAATAAAATGTAAACCGATCTTTTTCATATGGGTGTTTTAGAGTTGTACCCCCTAGATCTAGTAGTAATTCTGCTCAAAGTGCACCAGATTGAAGCATTTGACTTAAAAATGTTCAAACATTTCTTCCCGGGGGGGCATACCCCCGGACCCCCCTAGAGGATGTGACGTCCACCCCCCATTCTATTGTGTATTCCTTGGATAATCTATTGACCTTTATCTTTTCTATTGTACGATTCTCTGGCTGGGGGGGGGCTCCAGCTCAAATCTCGCCTAGGGCAGCAAATTGTCTAGAGCCGGCCCTGAGTGAAGGCAGGTGGTTTCTTGACAAAAGAACCACAACACTATTCTTCCACGTCTTTTTATAATCTCAGAAGATTTTCTTTCTCTTGAATGTAATCTTGGAGATATATATAATAATAATAATAATAATGATAATATTACCGCCTTCCCACTCATTAAATCTTCTTTTACATTTCAATAAGTCATAATGTAACACGTGAGTCGTGACATTGTTCTCATGAAGTAATCGAAATACTGACATTACTTATTATAACGTCACCTAGAAATCTGTAACCTAAACCATTTCAAAACACAAAGTAATATAGATGACTGGAGTCAAATCTTTTCTCTGCCTGTTTGTTTGATTTAAAAACAATTGAATATTCCCTCTGTATGTCCCTCTCTTCAGGGAAATGGAGCCACAGCGCCGACCTCTGCAGAAGAAGTCGTTGAGGACTTTGAGGGCGGGACGTATGTTCGATTCGACGCCCCGAAAGCAAAGATAAGGAGGAGCTGGCCCAGGGTCCGAGGTACCCTGTCTTTTAATACTCATTTCAAGGATTCAAGGCTTTTATTGTCATTTGTACATAGAGTGTAGTTATGTCAATGACATTCTTAGGTCACAGGCTCCTCCAACAGTAAACAGTAAACAACAATAAAAACAGATAATAGTGCAAGTAAATAAAATAAAATATAATAGAATTTCATTTCTAAATAGAATGGGCATCAGGCATCTAACCAAAAACGCATTTAAACTGTTGACTTGAACTGATGAGGGAGCCAGGAAGTGTTAAAAAGGCTAACTCATTTCCAGGTTAAGGACTCATACCTGCACCACTTTAAAACCCTAGTACTCCAACAGATGGAAGTGGAATTTAAATGCATGCCCTGGGCCGAGGACTCCTTGTGAATCTGCACCGGCTCAAGTGATAGCTTCAGGGTTTTAAGGTCACCTATTATGCAAAGTCCACTTCTTCATGTCTCTTCTACATCAACATGTGTCCCCTCTTCTTCATGTCTCTTCTACATCAACATGTGTCCCCTCTTCTTCATGTCTCTTCTACATCAACATGTGTCCCCTCTTCTTCATGTCTCTTCTACATCAACATGTGTCCCCTCTTCTTCATGTCTCTTCTACATCAACATGTGTCCCCTCTGTGGAAAGAGACTCTGAAAGTTTCAGGAACAAAGATTCTCTCTCTTTTTGTCCTGATCCATTTCTATAAAAACCTGTCTGAAAATGAGCTGATCAGATTTTGGCCACTTTATGATGTCATAACGATTTTTTGTCTTGTGTAACCATTAGCCAATCAGCAACCAAGGTAACCCCCCCCCCCCCCACCACCTGAATCTCCTCCTAGAGCACCATTGAGTTCTTTGTAACCAAATCTCTCTCAGAGGGGCGTGGGGAGGGGCTCCTTATTTTCATCTAAAGTAACAGACACAGAATCAGCACTTTGGAAACAGGGCTGAAACAGAGGGGATTATGGGATGCTGCAATGATCTGTTTGGTGTTTCAGCCAATCAGAGACATGTTCTGTATATATCTGAGACCTGTAATATATTGATGAAAAACAGTATAATAGGGGACCTTTAAGTGAGAGCTTCAGGGTTTTCAAATAGTGTGTGTGTTCTCTCTCCAGACATGATCCTGCATCGTTATGTGGTCTCCCGGGTGATCTGGGCCTACATGCTGAGCATCGCGGTGACCTACAGCATCACTCTGTGTCTGTTCCCCGGCCTCGAGTCCGAGATCAGAAACCCCACGTTAGGAGAGTGGTTCCCCATCCTCATCATGGCCACCTTCAACATGTCCGACTTCGTGGGCAAGGTGAGAGGAACCTTTTATGAAGTAAAGAAAGATTCAAGATTCAAAGGTTTTATTATCACATGCACAAACTACAGTGTAGAAATGGCAATGAAATTATTCTGACCTGAGCTCCTCCAACAATGCAACATATATAATAAAATACAAAATAAAAATGTGTGCAAAAAGTCAATATACATGTCAATAGAATATGATATGTACAAGAACAGAATATTAAATGAAATAATGTAAATTAAGACACAATTAAATACAGTTTATTGTGGAAAGATTCCCTGAATAAAAATAATTGTACAAATGTCCCGTGTAAAGGAGACGGGGTCTCCAGGACATTGGGTTTAGAGATGGCACGGTGTGGATGGGTGTGTCCCAGTAAAAGAACACGGAGAACAGACTTTCCCAGTTTAGATCTTTAATTATACTTGTTCTTGCTGTTAGCCATGTGTGGTCTGTAACAATAGTACAAACAAGGAATGGCATTAATAATAATCACAATTATCTATAATAAACAATTATAGAATCAATACAATTGAATTACATAAGCGAGTGAAATACACAAATACAAAGAAGTTAGCAACTAAGCTACCACTAGCATCCAGCACCGCTAACAAACTAGAGACATTACTGCCTACTAAGCAGTGGCGAGCCGTGACTTTTATACCTAGGCCCTCTGACCCCCCCTTCCCTCGAAAAAAAAGAAGAGATATTACGTCACAGCGTATACTTCAGCGGAATATCAAAACAGCGGCCCGGGGTGCAAAACGCATCAATGACAGCGACCCTCTACCACACAGAACAACACCATTTATATAAACACCTATCATGACAGGGCACCCACAGCCAAGTAACAATTACAAATGAATTAAGTCGGCACGGCGGCCCGCATTGAAAATGACTTAGGCCTACCTTTGATGATCAAATCACTTAAACACAAAGTCCATCCTCCTGTCCTTTTGGATGAAGCACTTGATGGCGGGGTCATTCAGCTGATCCTTTGCCACTCCAGTTTATCATTGGAACTCAATCTTGAAAATGACTCGGTTAATAATTTTGCAAACGATGTCATCACTATCACTGAAGTGAGCCATCATGAACGAACTTATGCTAATTATAAATCTATCGATCATAAATCTATCGTTTAGATTTATGATTCGAAAATAATAAAAGTAGGGTAGACATGTGGATATTATCCGGCTGAACAAAACGTGCATTTATCAAACAGGTTCGTTTTCCACAGACCTTATTTCGAGCTATTTTCCAAAATCCTATGGAGAAATCCCACTGCTTTCTGTCGAGGGAATCCGAGCGAAGCTTACTTCCGGGTTTTAGGACGCGTCACTGCACACATGGGTTGCATTCCGAGGGCTGCAGTCGAATAGTCCATTTAGTTTAGGAACCTTCCTAACGGAGTGAAATGACCCGGAAGTCCCTCAGTGGCAGCCATGATAAGTGCCGTTCGAATTCTCTAGAATGATAGGAAAGGAGGTTTCAAACTTCCTTTATAACCTCCTTTAGCTTAGGAACCACTGGACCTCCCTAACCGAAAGGAGAGGAGAAAGTGCTGCCCCACAATGCCTTGCAGCCGCAGCATTTGACGTCTCACAACAGTCGGCCGTTCACGGAAACAATCGATTATGACGGAGAAATGATATCATGAAAGTTACAGTGCTTATTAAGCTTTTTAAAACGTCTGTGGTAAGTAGCCAAAGTGCTTTGTTTTGAACGTTCATCAGTATTATAATCAAAAAGAGAAATATGAATGTTAGTTTTTACTGAAATGATCAAATAAAGTCAACATTTCACTGAGCTGTGTGGGGTTTGTTCAACTTTTAAAAGATGTTTGAATGGTGATGTACACAGTGATAGATGTTAAGGACTAACGTTTATAATAAATACATTTGTATTGATTTTAAGATCTTTTCATAGTTCATACAATCATACGTATTGGGATCATTTGTATTAATGTGGACCGGAGGGAGAGGGACGAGCATAAGTTTCACTTTCCTTTTTTATTTCAATTCCAACTTTGGTCCTGAAGAATATGTTTCTCTGTTGTCCACGTTCATAAAGCATAAAGCAACAGCATCAGAGCACGGTGCAGAGTCTCTAGATGAGTTTAGTCCCTCCTTCTTATTAAACATCCATGTTGTAGTCCGCTGTATAGAAAACTGTAGTTTCCATGGTTACCCCACAGCAGCAGACGCACATTCATGACGTCCGCTGGCGCATCATAAACACGTCGGATAGAGAAAGTGCATTCGGATTCTCTAAAGTACCGCAGTCTCTTCTCCTAAATCCTTTTGAATTCTCCTATCCACTATCCCTTAACCCGTGACGTTTCACTCAGAGGTCAAGGAATAGGAGATAGGGTTAGAATTTAGGAGCTGATTTTTGGATTATTGGAACGCAACCGTTGAGTTACCCTAGCTGGCCCTCTGTGAGTTGACAGCAGGACCATCAGCTCCTATCTTCACCTGCAGAGATGAGCTTCTTTTATTTAACCCTTCACATTCCAACAGAAACTGAACAGGCAGATTCTAAGGATTTATTTCTTTAGAAATGTTATTTTAAATACAATTAAATCAAGTTATTTTGGTAAAACTAATGAAAAATATAACAACAAAAAATTACGTCAGCTCAATTAACCGGGAGCATTAAAGGAAAGACACTTATAACATAACATCAACAAACAAACTTATGATATAAATGTGTGGGCTTTTAACATCCCGGCCATTTGTTAGATAATACAAATGAACCTGAACTTTAAAAAGATGGCGTTAACTCAAGCTACTTTCTTCCTTTCAATGTCAAATTATACCTTAAGGGCACCAGATAAGCTTTCTTTTATTCACATAAAGCCTTTGAGCAAAGTGCAATGATCCAAAAAATATATCCCAGGTTTAATAAAATGGGGCAACTCCTTTAAGATTTCCACAAGGTCGGCTGTGGTGTTAGACTCCTCCTGCCTCTGTAGAGCCGAGACGCTCAATTAAATCTCCCAAGGGCTACCATGTGAATATAAGAAAACACGAAGACAAGGTCATAGTGAGAAATGATGAATGCTTGTGTCCTTGTTGATCAAGTGTATTTTGTATTCAAAGGCAAATGTCCTCGTGGGATCGGAGGTGGATGTCCTGTTCACTTTTTAAGAACTCTTTATAGATTTTCACTTTGGTACATTGAGTGCAAATACTGTTACATTTAGTCAGTAAACTGTGTGTCGTGATGGGGATTATTTAAGCTTCACTTTACTTTACTAATATTTAATTATTATAAATCAAATCTAGTTGGAATGGTTTGACTGTTTGATTTGAGTGTTTGCTGGAGGTCCATTGTGTACAGAAGAGGATTAGGGCAACATGAGACATTTTCCGGGATGTAACCAAAAGTCAAACGGAAATTCAATTCTGACTTTTATTGAATTCTGGAAAAAAAAAATGTAAAGTATTTTTTCTCAGCAAAAATCTCAACGAAAAAATTCAGAACTCAGATTTTTGTTTTGGTCAAATCACCCACAAATTGCACTTATCCTCTTCCATAGTTGTTCATGTTAAATTATAGATTATAGCTGATTTAACCTAATCTTTAAAAAAGTATTGAGATTAAGAAAAAGGAAAGTAAAACAACGTCCTGACACTAATGAGGAAGATAAAGGTGTAACTTGTCCTGCTAACATTTACTCTGCACATTCGTTCAATGCTACCTTTTTCCCCCCAAATTCTGCTATACTTCACACATTTATTTTCAGAGGAATTTGTCATATTCTTGTTGAACTTTTTATTTTTGTATATATATTATTTTTTTGTAAACTACAAACAAAAAGCGTAAGACCTCTCATCCCTAAAACACACTTCTCTCTCTCTCTCTCTCTGCTCAGATCCTGGCAGCGCTGCCCTTTGATTGGTCCGGAGGCCGCCTGCTCTTCTTCTGCAGTCTGAGGGTGGTCTTCATCCCCCTCTTCGTCATGTGTGTTTACCCGGCCAGCGCCCCCACCCTGTCTCACCCCGCCTGGCCCTGCATCTTCTCCCTCCTCATGGGAGTCACCAACGGATACTTCGGGTCCGTGCCGATGATCCAGGCCGCGGGAAAAGTGCCGCCCGAACAGAGAGAGCTGGCAGGTGAGAATAATAATAATAATAATAACTCATTCTATTTAGAGGCGCCTTTCAAAAGACACCTTACAATTCATAAAATATCCTAAAGAAAGGTTTAAGACAGTACAAAAGGACTGTAACAGGGGACATTACCTCAGTGGGGATTCATTTTCTGTAGAGATAAGATAAGATGTATTTTATTGATCCCAATTTGGGAAATGTTGGTGTTGCAGCAGCATAACAAGACATGGCATTGTACAATATAAATGTAAGGACTAGAAATAAACAAGAAAGTAGAAAATATACATGATGAATTACAAATGGACAGTAACAAAACATAAAGCAAGTTATTATATATATAAGTATGTGAGGCATGGAATATTAAATATGAAATCAAATATAGATAGAAGGTAGGTGTAGGTCTAATTTAAGTGTAAAACCGGACAGGAAATAAATAACCAAACTCTAGATGGATTACATTAATGTATCCAAAAAATACAACACTGGCTCCAGCTTCTCAAATGTGAGGATGTGCCGCTCTGCTCTGCTTTGTATCAATGCAAACTGAGTAGATTTTAGATTTTGATTGGACAAAGAACAAAGACAAAGAAGAAGTTTCTGTACACCTCGAATGTTTGAATCGAATCCCAAACCGATGCGTTGATACAATAAACTGTTGTTGAACCGCATCGATGCGCAGAAAGAAGAATGCTAGCATGAGTAGATGTACGCTTCCTTCGGCACGGTGATAGGATTTGCCGGTGTAATTCGGTAGAAATAGAAAATAGTTGCTACTGTTAACTGTGATGGTTATTCTCGCGTCCAGGAAAGAGAAGCTTAAAAAGGAGACTAAATGGAGTCTCTGAGATGTTTTCAAATTGGTACTTTAATTAATAAAAGGCGCGGTACAGTCACAAACAGGATATCGTCCGACAGAAAAGCAGCTGTCTCTGGCCCTCGCTAGCAGAGAAAAGAGGCCGAACCGCTCAGGTGCTGCTCTTATATAGCTTCTGTAGGCTCCTCCCTGCGGGCCGGCCCTCCACATCTTAATGTCCGTTGTTACGTTTAAACAGAGGATTCAGGCATTGTACATTCAATACATACTTAAACACGCCTCTTCTCCTCATATTGTCTTTCATCACTTTTCCTTTAACACATTCTAAACGTTGTAGTTAATATTCTAAAAAATACAGAAAATACTTCACGGCTGGTTTGGTTTCTGGTCATTCCGGATGTTGTCACATCTTACCCACGTCTGTAAACAATAACTTTATTCAAATAAACTATACCTTCATTTAATATTCAGCAATAATAATACGTCTATAGTTGCAGTGTTAAAATCAGTAGGTTTCGGTGTGCATCACTCCATGTCATTTCGCTACTAAATTAACCTCTATAAGAAATGGTAAACTAGCCACATGCTAACTGCTAACCGGAGATGAAGGATTTTCAGAATAAAAGCTTAACTGGTTGTGCACAATAATTTTCTGGTTTTTCAGTATAAAACAGCATTTAAACTGAAGGTACATTTAAGGTACATTATGCCATCAAAACATTGATTTTAATTTCTAACAATCCCTCCTTACACACCTAAAAGGTGTGTATAATACTGAAATCAATGAGTTCTTCATCTGAACTCTGCATAGTACATAACTCATATCAAAAACATACAATCAAAATGGAATGGTTCGAATATCCTCAATTTTACAAAAATACAAAAATACTTTGACTGTGTTCAAACATAAAAGTTTTCCCTTGTGCATAACTTCTAGTGTTAACATTCAATATGGTTCTTCAAAATAGCAGGAATGGCTTGGTATCAGAACATTTCTTCCTCCCTCCTTTCACAGAAACCGTTCTCATACCACGCTCAGTGTTAAGTCACTTGTTTTTACAAAGTGAAAAGAAACTACCCATTTTAGAATTGTAATGATTCGAAAATACATGAAATCTACCATATAGAACAGTGAAAAATAATAAAAATGAAATAAACTATCTTGGAATAGTATAGAGTAAATTTAAATAAAAATACACTATCTTGTAATATGGTATAAGTACATTGAAATGGATTCACTCCATTTTAGCATTTTATTTTGCTCACTTCTTCACATGATTTCATCATTTAAAGAATCACATCGGCTGGACATTCATTGAACAACCTCATCTCTGAACATCCATATCGTTTAACATCATTCAAACTAACTCATCATTTTCATCAACATCTGTATTGGGGTGGGCCGTCTTGTTCTACTAGCATTTGTAACTGTCTCCTCATGAGAAATGTACCCTCCCTCCTTTCATACCATTTAAGGTATGAAAGTAATATGTTCTCTAGAAGAGGCCGTCGTGATCAATCGGTATTTTAGGACATGGAATGAGTGCTACATTTAGGCCTCCCCTGGTCGCCCCTATGCTATCCTTGTACCCTGGAGCCTAAACTCCCCCTGGGACTGGTCTCTTAGCCCTACTGGCTTTGGGGTGGTCTGTTCTAATGCAGTGATAAAGTCCCTGAAATGGTGTGAAAACCGGTGGAATATCAATAACTCATTATACTAATTTATTTTCATTTCTGGTCTACTTAAATAACTATGCTAACCCCCTTTAACAGTGTGTGGAACCTTGGGTGCTCTAACAAGGACTTTAAAAACAGAAGTCATTTCATTAATGGTTTGTAGTTCAATTCAGGAATGTTCACTCATGGCAGATATGTTTCTCCTTTTAAATAACATCTCTAAATGTCAGGTCATCACTGATTAAATGGAGGAGCATTAGGAGGTGGTGGCACTTGTCTTTTAAAACTCATACTCTGGTGCCGTGCGCTCCCTCTGAAGCTGCAAGTAAGATTTAAAACATCTGCAGGGTGGGTTGAGCAACCCCTTCTCCCTGAACGATATTTATTGTTGAAAATATGCACCATTAAAATGAGTGATCCAAGGTCCCGCATGTATTACTCCCAATTGTACTAGTTTTTTCAAAATTAAAATCTTCAATCGCTCTTTGTTTAGTGTCTTTTTAAAACTCTACATCTTGGACGACAAACAAATGTTGTTTCCACCTTAACAGTTCTCCTGTGGTAATATCCATGCTACAATGGAGAAACCAATACTCTAGATTGGAATACTTTCTTTGGCTTGGTTCCAGCTCTACCTTTAACATTTTCCATTCAAATAAAGATTTGCCTGCTATCTATATTGTAACAAATTAAATCTTCCCCAAATTCTCACATGAATAAGAATCTCTATAAGAATAATTTGTTTATATTATGAAAAGATTGAATAATATGTTCTACCCTCAGTGTGTTTTTAGGATTATTTTCTAATAAGTGTGTTTATGTGTAAACTCACTCACTCCTGTGTTCCTTCTCTCCCCCTCTGGTCGTCAAGCCACGACTCCCTCACGTTCTGCTGGCCCATGCCAACTCCTCTGGTTCTGTCTTCTCCTCCATCCTGTCTTCTCCTCAGTCCATCCGCACTTGGATCTTCCCGCTGTAATTCTTTTCAGTGGCCCAACTGCTTTGCATTTCATCTCCTCCTTTTCAGTCTCTTGGCTGTTGCATGGAGTGGTGTATTCTGCTCTCATGTCCCACACTCTGCTCTTGTGCCAAATCTCGCGGCTCAGTTTGGAACTTCATGTCCTGTTTGAGGGACCGATGAGAGTTTGCCTCTTTGTCAGCATGCTGGTTTGGTTCTGGATGCCTCAGGTGGAGATGGTTCTGGATGCCTCAGGTGGAGATGGTTCTGGATGCCTCAGGTGGTTGTTGGTTCAGCTCGGGTTGTCTGTCTTTAAACCGGAGGAGGAGGAGTCTCCTGTGGTGAGGTCATTTGTCTGAAGATGGGGTCGTAGCAGTCTGACAGGCAGAGAGAGAGAGAGAGATCTCGGGAGGCATTACCTATAGCTAATTCGAACACACTGAGGTAAAATATATCCAATCCTTTCCACTCTATTTTCCTAATCTTACTATCTGTCTTAGATGTTAAATGTCATCTAAACCCAATGAATGTCTACTAATGGTTGTGCCATATCCCTAAACATTGTTTCCACCCACTGTAACATGGCTACTCCAAATAACTCTTTCAGGAAACCATTTTCTTCTATAAATTAAAAATACCTACATGTTTCAAGCACCACATATTTCACACACTATAAAAGAACGTCCCCATATTTTCTCCATCATTTTAAATATCACTGTTATTTAGAACATAAGTAACTTTTGTGACTGGACATATCTGCAATGTCGCCACAATCTGCTGGGGAATTTTGTTCATAGAGTTTGTACGTACAAAGCTGTACTTGTGGGTTAGTAGCCTGTTTCTACTGTAATCATTTTTCAATAATTGTGCTCAGTTCACCGGTTGGTTGTCCATAAACTTAACAGGGGTGTTTCTGGCACAGACTAAAACATGGATCCAGTGTATTTTTAGATTCCCCTAATCTGTAAATTCCCATCACCTACATATCCCAATCACTTAAACCCATCTCATCATTTGATACAAGAACTGCATATATGGGGGGTGAATCATCTTGATTGTAATCGCCTCACCTTTGGGACCAAGTATTTCTAACTCCTCCTCTTGTAGCTCAGCTGATCTTTTGGCTCTGGGGATAAGTGAAAGTCTCTGAAACACAGCTGGAGTTTTGTTAGTGATGTGGGCATTCTCTATGAGTGGACTAATGGATCCATGTCTTACTTGATATTGTACTCCCCATCCAACCAGAAAGGTGCCAAGTGTAATGAGCACAATCAACAATGCTATTCTGACTCTTATCCCTAGGGGACCCCACAATAGCTTTGGCTTTGTTCTTGACATCATCTCTATTTTCTCCCTTGGTGTCAGTTACAGAATTTAAATAATGAGTACTATAATAACGTATACTAAAATTTGACTCTTTTTCAGATGTAAAACAAAAATAGGTTTTCACTTTAGTGTACTATCTATAAAAATCTATAGACAATTCGTCTTTTGAGCTGTTTCTATCTTTATCTTATTTCTATTTATTGTTTTGTTCCAGCTCTGCCAAATCAG